TGTTATCGCGCGTCAACATCCCCAAGGATGTTAAGTTGTTACCCATTCCTTTGTCTTCCACCGGTGAAAACACGTCACATGATGCCAAGAAGAGCACCCAGACATATAATTAATGGTACAATATATTATAATCTTTAAGAGACAACCTAAATCTACAGAAAGAACCACAGTTCAGACGGATGTTTGGCGAGTCTTTGCTTCTCCATCTTTTATTTTCTTTTGCTGAACTTCGATTTGAGCTATTTTTAAGATGGTACAAAGCGTAAACACAGCGATGATTACGCGGTAGCCTCCTTCTTACCATAAAAAAAAAAAAAAAAAAGTAAAGTTCAAACACAAATCCTTCCCTCATTTGCCATGCAGGGGCCTTGCTGCGGCAGCTAAAGCAATGCCAGTCATCAATCATCTTGGAATAAAGCCTTGGATACAGAAGAAGAGTAGTTCTCAGGATCTTTGCATTCGTCATCTCCTTCACTTGTACTCCTAGAGCACGGACGTTTCGCTTCTGTCATTGGGGTCTCACAGACAACACTTCTATGACTAGCTCTTTCTTTATCCTTCCTCTTGGAGTCCCTATTCATAGAATCAGACCTTCCATTCATTGCCTTAAGTGGCTTTGGTGCCCAAACTCTTTGAAGATCAGGCATCCAACTTGTAAAAGACACAAATCTTCTTGCCCTCTCTCTCCTCTCACGAGCTTCACTTAACTTGCGTGCTTGTTCATCTTTTCTAATTCCTTCAGGACTCTCATCAACATTCTCCTGTTGCTGGTACGTCTCCTCCTCTACCGAGACTGATTGATATACGTCGTGACTTTCAGCCTTCTCATACGTGTCTTTGTTATCCCTCCAAGATTGACCACTATCCTCACTGTTGAAGAGAAGAGCTTGGGTCTCATCCTCGTCACCAAAGGGCAACAAATCCATTTGAGTGTAGAGATCCTTCACAATGTCGTCGAGTACGTTACAATATCTGAAAAGTACAGGCATCATGTATTAGCTTGCAAAATTGCTGCTTCTCAACACGTTAATCTCTGACACGTAAATATGGCAGTGAAGGGCAAAAGAGAGGAGTTCTACTGTGCGAGAAGATATACTCATTTTAGATCCAAAAAAGATATAACCAGATTCATGCTTGAACAATATAAGCAGAGGCACATGTGCCAGCCTGCATCTAGTAAAACCACATAAATGGTCTTCAATAGTTGTCTCTTGAACATCATATGTTGCTAAACAAGGAAAATCAGCTCCGAAATTATATAGATATCTTGCTTTAAGGATAATAGCATGGCCAATGAAGAAGTAAAGCAAAAGCTGGAAACAACAATGTGCAGGTAGAATAAAATGCTCTCAGCACAGGGCATGAAGTCCATGATCATCGAGTTGATATAGCTTTTAGATTTACTGCTAATTTACTAAAGGGAGGCAAAAGACGGATACTTAATTAGATGCAACTGAGATAATGAAGTGAAAGTAATACTCTGCTAGGCTCAGTAGAACATAAGACTAAGGGAAAATTTGTAAGATGGGAATAAGAAGATTTACAATTCATACGTTGGGTGAAACTTTTCGTTTATTTGTGATCGGGATATGAGTTACTGTTCAAATAAATTTATTTCTAGTTGACTGAATCACCCTTTGTTAACTCTTAACAATGTGGGGAAAAAATCTTAACAATGTCCACCTTAATGAATAAAATTTTGCACTTTGGCGAATGTGTACATATATCAGAATGTGCACATATCAAAATCAATACATGCACGCATATGTATACTGAAATGTGCACATATGAAATATGTGCCCATCCAGTGCTAGTATTTGCACATAAGGGTAATTTCATGATTTTGCCTGCAATATTAATTTTCTTATAAATTGTGATCGGTTACCCACACCGCATCTACAAATTTCCTAAAACCTATACCCTTCTTATGAATTTTCGGATCTCCCTATTCACATTTTCCAATTTTAAATCAATTGCTTTCCAGATGAGCTACCATATTTGATGTTACTAGCTTTGAGTCCTTTATTGAGTTATTACCTCATTTTGATGGTACGCTCAACATATTCATACAGGCTAACATTACCATGGATGCCTCCATCGATGAGATACTGAATGATGTCTAAAAGGGAGCAAATCTGCTTCAAAAGCTTCTGCTTTAATGGCTGCTCCTTATTCACTGAAATATCTGACCGAAAAATCTCCATCCGCAGTAAAACCTGCAATTCATATCTAGTGCGAGTAAAGGAAATGACATGTATAATGAGAGCTAGCTTTCACAATTTCAAGAACTTGTAACAAAAGCACAGATTTGTAGAATATATTCATTCAGTGAAGTGTTGAAAAGGATACTTTCTAACTGTTAAATCTGAGGCAGGATTTGGATCACAAGAATTGGAGGATGGACTGCTGCAATTTCTCATATCATTCATTTCCTTGGGGTCTGTCAATAATAAGTCAATCAGTTTTGCACCAAGTGATTGACAAGAACCATCTAATTGTATTGGATTTTGACCTTCTGCATTTTCGTATGTTTTGTAACTTCTAAGTAACCAATAAATGGATGACTTTACAAGTCGTTCAGCCAATGTCTGCAAGTGCATTCCTGATTCAAGTCCTTGTTGGATTCTCTTTTTAAGACTACCAAAGAAGGCTTCTGAGGTCTCTGGGCATGAAGATATCACAGCTTCCTCCTGCTTTCCAGATTGTTCAGATGAAAAGCTAAGTGATGGGGTTGATTCCTCTGTGGAGTTGCATACATGAAAAGATTTTATGTAGTTTTGGCTATGGTTCCCAATCTGCTTTAACCAGCATTTCAAGAACTTAAGCTTCTTCGGTTTATCAAACTTTCTAGAAAAGTAAATTGCTGCCAAGTCAAAATCAGAACATTCAGAGGCTGCCTTGCAAAAGGAGCTCCATGTGAGGTCCTGATGCAAATGCTTTTTGTGTTTTTTCATCTTTCCACCTGCAAAAGGATCACAATCCCCAGAAGTTGAAGTCTCAATTTGAGAACCAATAAACCCATTTGAGTTGCTTATATCAGTATAAGAATTGTAAGTCTCACTCCGCCCCCTGCCCAAATTTGATACACTGCGGCAATGATCCCCAAGAGAATCACTATCTACTACTGAGAGAAGAGCTGAATGTGCAGTGAAAGGCTTGAGAACACCAAGAATTGTATCTCCATTTTTGTTTGAAAGGGAGACCAGGGCCAAATAACCTTCACCAGACAAGAAACTCAGAAGAATCTGCCAGATGGGCATTGTATTACAACTGCAGGCCTCATTTATTTCTCTAGATAGTATGTCAAGGACCCTATCAGCAAAAAAATCATCAGTAGAATTCCTTTTCTGTTTCTTAGATTCTCTTGACAACTCTTTCACCAGGATGCAGTCAGATAAACACCCTTCAATCTTCTCTTCCTCATTATACTTCTGCACAGCCTTAAAGCTCAGCTTTATCATTCCATCACCAAAGCGATGCCAAAAAGCTTCACGACTATCAAGCTTTTCGCTTTGTGAGTCTCTTAACTCCAAGGAACCCCAGCTATCAACAGATTTTTTCCCAGATAAGGTGTTCAAATTCAGCAGTTCAAGATGACAACAGTTGCATTCCAAAGGTTTACCATTGACATCGAAGATCTCAAGATATAATTGCACGTCACTACGTTTACATGACCAACTTGAATTGGCAAAGTTCAATGAAACACCAATTTTCGGGTATATCAATCTAAAAGGAAGAATAGCAGATCCCAGAATAATTGAGTCAGTTGAACAAAATCCCCAACCCAAATTTCTGATCCCTTCATCAAATAGTCCTAATTCTTTTCCAAATATATTTTCTTTGACTTCATTGTAATTACCTTGTGATTCATACTTGACATTAATCCAACTCAAATGAATATCCCTCCCAGCAAATGCATCATGCACAGCACCAAACAGATGGCAAAAATTAACCGAGAATTCATCCAATTCACACAAAACTCGAGAACCCACCACACCCACATCCAAATAATCAGATAAGCTGGAAATTGAGCAACAAACAGAGGAAAACAAAAGAACCAAATTCGATCGAACTAGAGGAAAATGCTGATTACCTTTTCCTACAACAGTTTCCAGTTCAGACTCCCATGCGTAATCATGTACCAACTGAAGCAATGAGGCAGCTGTATGGGAAGCGAGAGGTCTGGCATTTGATAATTCGGTCGAAATTGGTGACAGCGAGAGAGAATTGAGGGCAGTCGAGAGAGAAGCTAGGGTGTGGGAGGGGTCATTGAAGGAGAGAGAAGTCAGGGAAGAGTTGGGAAGCAAGCGGTGGACGGCAGAGGCGGACCGAAGCGGGGAAAGAGAAGAGAAAAAGAGCTTGTAGGCGAAGAGAGATTTGAAGAGAGGCGGAAAATTGACGAGGCGTGTGACGGATGCAACAGTGGCGGTGAGGTAGGGGTTAGGGTTTTCAAGACAGAAGAGTGGGTGAAGATCTATGAGCAATACGATGCGTTCTGTCTTTGAGAAATCTAAGGGCTCCGTCATCGTGGCCACGGGAAGCGTGATAATTTACCCTCTATGTATCTGTGTCTTCTCCTGTTGGCCGAGGGGAATGTCGGCCTGATACCGGAATATATGTGTTGTAAACGCCATGGAATGACAGTTAGGCACCTGCCTCCGTTGTGATTCTGGGAACTGGAGTGAATTTTTGGTGGCGAAGAAGCTGTAGGAGGCTCACCTACGCGTACACTTGTACCTGGGTTGAAAATGGAGCATTCAATCAAATCCAAAGCGTTAGTAGAAGAAGAAGAAGAAGATGGCTCACTGGTTTTGGCGGGAAAACTGAAATGGCGGTCAGATTCGCTTTTCAAAATCAGATTTAAAAAGGAAGCCGCAAGAGCTGCTAAAATGCGCCGCCGGCCGCAGCTGCAACATTTTAATCATATCACGTGATCATGATCGAAAACCACGTGACATCCACCAGTGGCGATTTTCAGCTATCACACGACGTCGTTGAGCACCCTATCTGCTTCTTCCGCGATTTTCATTTTTTCTGCAGCTGGAACTTTTGCTGGTACTTGTCTAGTCGTCTTCTCCTCTCGTTCTGTATCAACACAAACGACGGCGTTGAGAGCTCCTCCGGTCCGCATATACACTTGGGCAAATGTCTTTGGTTTGTAGCTCTAGGCTAATAAGCAGAGATTATGGGGTTTTCTTAATTTCTCCAACCCCGTCGTCGTCCTCTTTCGCAACATATACGACGTTTTCGTTTTCATTGGGGCATCCTGTACTATTTAATAAGTTCCCACCAATACCATGTCGTCGACCACCCTTGTCTTCTTCCTCGCCGTCGAGGAGACGAACCCTAGTTTGTTCCAAGTCATCTGAAGAAGAAGAAGAAGAGGTATCCTCTGGTGGAACACAAGTGGACGAGTGGTTACAGAGACTGCCGGATAAGAAAAAGCCCTTGTACTCTCATAGCTTGCCTTGCGTGGAGGCATGGTTGAGGAGCTTAGGGTTTCATCAGAGCAAAGAGGATAGAGCTGTTTGGTTTGTGGAGAATCCTGATTGGCATGCCCAGCTCTCCCTTGATGTCACGGACCTCTACATTAGGTCCATTTCTGCCAACCCCCTTTTTTGACTAAGCATTACTTTTTCGTGCGATTGCTTTCACCTGATTGTAGTAGAGTCAGGAACATATAACCAAATAGCTAGCAATTTTCTGCAGAACCCCTTTATTCCTAGGCATTGTATTAGTGATTGTTTTCTATGAATATTTTCTTTCCATGCTGTTCAATAATTACAAGCTGAATCTCTTCTTAATTTGTTATAGTTGGTTGTCATAAATGATGGGCGGGAGGAACTCGGTGTTTGTGCCTGTATTGAATGACAAGTGTGATGCCCGTCATTATTGAGGAAGAAAGTTGGGATTTTGATGGTTGCTTGATTGCAAGATTCACTTAAGCTTTTCAGTTAACTTTGTGATAAGAATATGGTACTAGTATTACTTAAGAATTATACTCTGCTTGTCATTCACTATGGTGAAAGAAGTTTGGGTTGCCACCACCGCGAAATCCTCCCATGGTAACATCCCTTACCCTTTAGTGCAAGGAGCAAGGTTTGAAGCTTGCTACCCTTTTCCTCTATGTATCCAAAAACAGATGAAAGAGAAAGGGGTTTGTTTCGGTTTATTGCTGCCGTTGATGACTAGATGTGTACTAAGGCTTTTGTTTCTCTGTATTTCAGGTTGAGTTTTCATAAGTGACCAAATTTGTATGCAAATTGTTTTAACAGTTTTCAGAAGGCGTAACCCTGGTTTGAGTATAATTAACATACTTTGGTCTAGAAAGGCTCATCATATACATTAATATGTGAAGAACTGGAAACTGAAGAAAGGCCTAAAGGTGTTCATTCTCTTCAAATATATTGGCTTATTAAGTGTAGTCAACACAGGGCTGGTATCCTTGAAGAAAACAAGATATCTATTTTTGAAAGGAAGTTTGTAAAGTAAAATATTCCCATTTCCATGTGCAAGTGCATTTGCTTGAGCTTAAAGCCTATCAACATTGCATTTTTCATCTGCAACTTTTAAGAAATGCAACCAACTTGATAGGTAGCTATGTTAATGTTCTGGTTTCTGTAATCCCTCTTGAGACTCTATATATTTGTTCTTGTTATTTGACCGCAGTAAAGTAAATAACGTTGGGCACATTGAATATTGTATTTTTTTGGTTAGGAATTAATAAGGATTGGATCCTTTATATTAGTTGTTTAATCGGGTTCTAGTTGTAGAATCGAGAAATATGTGAATGTTCCCGTGTCCAAACTAGTCTTGTGGTGTTAAATTTGGAATCAGCCGAATCAACAGCAGGCAAGACGAGAGCAAATTATAGCTGCATTTACATTTTAAACAGGAGTAAGTCGGGTTGATTATATATATCTTGGTAGATTTTAGGAAATCATCATATAATTTGAGTTTTTTATTCGGAATTTCACTTTCGAGTTGAATTTTAATCTGGAAGTTCATTACAACATATCTTGTCTCACTTAAATGTATAAACTGCCTCCGCTTTCTTTGTTCAGTTTTCCAACGCCCAACCCCGCCAAACCAAAACAACCCAAAAAAAAAGTGCAGACGCTGATTCTTCTGTAAAAGTGCAGGTACCTAAAGAGTGGACCAGGAAATTTAGAAAAAGATGTTGAAAGGAGATTCAGTTATGCACTATGTAGAGAGGATATTGAGAATGCCATACTTGGAGGGCCATAAGGATGAGAAAATGCAGATCCAGTTTTACTGTCTGTTCCACATTCAGAGGGTTAGAGGATCCAGATTGACCAGTAGGTGAAGAATTTTTTCTCAGGATTGATGATGCAATAATTTGATTTTTTTTTTATTTTTTTTACTCCAGGCGTGGTCAAATAATTTTCCTGTGTTTTGTACAACCCTTCGGGGGGTTTTTTTTTGAAAATATTTTTCCTTGAATAGAAAAATAAGTGCATGTAAAAACGTAAACAGACAGACTGGTAGTGAAGGAGCTCGGAACAGATTTTAGAATATTCCTTAATTTTCGGAGATTGGTACAGCAATGTTGCCCGCCCTTGGTACGAGATTAGATTCAGGGACTTTTGATTTATACAAAATAGCTTTTGTTTCACAAATATATAAAGTGTGTTGGGATAGAGTATTGTTTGAAACAATTATTGTAACACTTTTTTTTATGATGTGATATGTGAAAAATAAAAATGTGATTGAAAAATACAAGCAAAATATTATTTTAAAAAAAAAATTTAGCTGCATTTTCGGATCGATAAGTGCTACAGCCAGCGTCATTCCTGGAGATCAATTTTTCTAGCCTGGGTTTCTTCTGTTACCCTTCATAATACAGCAACGTCTCATTTATCAAGAAGCTCTATATTTTTGCAACCTCAAAGCAATTTAAGTCCCCTGTGATTATTAGCAAATCCAAAGGGGCATCGTCAAAATGGCCAAGAATCTTCTTCACTGATTGTACTACTATGACACAATTCCGTGCATTACTAGCGAGAGATTCCACCTTCATTTGGCTATGGAAGCCACACTTCCATTTTGTGTATATATATATGCCACCACGGTGAACTAGAAAACAAAGTGCCAAACCGATGCTGAAGCATCCCGGCTTTCCGTCAGCAGTTGTCCTGTAAGCTGCCTGTGCGCTAAAGGGGGAAAGGATCACAAAATGGCTCTGCGGTTTAACTTCACTGTAATTCTGCAGAGCGATAATGAGACCAGTATTCCTTCACGAGCTTGCCAAACAGTGAACCTTCTCTTTTCATCAACTCCATTGGTTCATCATACTCCACAAGTTTCCCTATCATATTTGTCAGACCAATTTTTAGCATAATGATTATGGTCAGAAGACTAGTTCAGCATAAACAAATGCTCAAGACATGAAGCTCACCCTCACTAATAGCCAAAACCTTTGTGCAGTCCATCACTGTTGGTATTCTGTGAGCCACCGTAATCACCGTGCAATCAGCAAATTCTGCCCTGATAGTTTTCTGTAAAATCAAGTCAGTAGCATTGTCTATTGATGCAGTTGCTTCATCCAGAACCAGTATCTTGCTTCTTCTCAGCAGAGCACGGCCAAGACAGAACAACTGCCTCTGCCCCATGCTCCAGTTTGATCCGTCTTCCACAACTGGAATTAAAAGAGATAGGTTAGTAAATCTTACCAGCTGCTGCTGCAGCTGCTCATCATTCATCACTACGCTAGAACTGGACCAGCTTACCCAAGGAGTCGAGGCCTTCTTCTTTCTCCCGAATAGCGTCTTTGAGTTGACACTTCTCAAGAACCTTCTCGAAACAGAAAAAAATGTTCTTATCAAGCGGTTAAAGCAACGCTGTTTTGAAAGTTGAAAAAGGAAAAAATAGCAATTTTCTCAAATGCAATAGCCACTGGCAATAGGAATGCTGGACATTTAACCAAACATAAGCTGCAAATGCCAAATTCATGCTTTGATATGCCAAGATTTTAAGTACCTCCCATATTTCCGGATCAGTGTGTTGCCCCAAAGGATCTAAGTTGTATCTCACAGTTCCATTGAAAAGAGTAGGATCCTGTGGTATAATCCCAAAACGTGACCTCAAGTCATGGAGTCCAATTGTACAGATGTCGATGCCATCTACTAAGATTCTTCCACCAACTGGCTCCACCAGACGAAAGAGCGCACCAATCAGAGTAGTCTTCCCACTACCAGTTCGCCCAACAATACCAATTTTATGCCCTCCTTCGAATGTGCAGCTGATCCCGCGAAGAACAAGCGGGCCATCAGAACGATACTTGATCTGTAATTGAACTGATGTTAGCGGGTTCAAACAAAGATCGAATACAATGTAAAAGTAGTCAAATAGATGTACCTGCAAATCTTGAATCTCTACTTTACCCACTATTGGCCAATTGGTTGGCGGTCGATTACATTCTATGACTTCAGGAGCTTCACTTGGTATGTGCATGTATTGGTTAAGCCTCTCCACAGAAATTATATAATTTGCCAGAGTACACTGGTTTTGGATGGAAAACACAAGGGACATATTTAATGAAAGACCATAGGACAAAGCCATTCCGATAAATCCTGCAATGACAGGGGACAATGATTAGAAGAGAAAATTTTCATTCTCAAACTTTAGCAGTATGGTGGACAAATGCCTGGATAATAAGAATCTATATTTTTGCTAGCATCAATTACTAGAGCACCACGGACCGGAGCTAAAAGTTCCAGGAGGAAGTAAAACCATGCAGAGAGCTGAGGAGGCAAGAACTGTGGCACTGACTGTCTCCAATCGTTGAATCAACCACTCATTAGCTGCAAAATTGTGGAAGAAAGGGCTGGCATTTGTGTCAACAAGTTCTAGGTTCTTAACAAAGAAACGCTCTTCTTGTTCGAAAGCTCTGATTGTCATGCACCCTGCCAAAGATTCAGCAAGATGATTTGCAACAAAAGACTTGGTTGTGCCGTTAATACGCATTAACTCTTTAGCAGAGGCAAAGTAGTATCTCTGTTGAAAGGAAAACCCACGATGGTATTAGTACAGCAAAAGTTTCTATAATCTTTTCTTGTCATTAATTTGATAAGCAAAAGTTTCTATGAAACAAGCCGGCCAGCATGTTACCTGTAATCGAATAGCCAAATAGACCAGTGGTATCGAGACAACCAAAATTTGCCAGGTGACTACAATTAGCACCACAAGACTAGAGTAAAAATTTATAGTTGCTCCAACAGAAAAAATCAAGTTGAATGGAACATCGAGATCAACAATGCTCAGATCAACCGAGACCTGCTCAAGTAAAAATCAATGGGCGTTACTTTTAGTTCCAAGCCTGTAGATGTGTACTGAACTTGGCATAAACTCTTACTATCCTTACCCGGCTTAATATCCTTCCCAAAGGCGTTGAGTCATAAAATGCCATCGGCGCGCGGAAAAGAGAATTCAATAGCTGAAGAAATAATGATTTTGAAGATTGCAGACCCAAAACAACTGTGCTCAGAGATCTACTGAGCAGAAGAAATGTTGACGAAAACCCAATCACCAAGTAGACTACAATCAGTTTCAGCGTGCTTACTTCAGGATTGTCAACATTTGCAGCCATCCAAGAGTTCTGTGATATCTGACCAATCACGAAAGTAAGATGAGAGAAAGCAGCCAAAGAAAAGAACAAGAAGCCTTTGTTCTGATTTAAATACTGAATGTAAGGCCTAAAGCCAGTGTCCCCGACTTCTCTCTCTTCTTGCTTGATCAACTGATCACCTGCTGATGCTTTAGAACCTTTCTCACTGTATGTCTTGCGGATTTCTTTGTTAGGAGCTTTAGGACTCGGGGAGGAAGTAACTTCTGAAATCCTCTCAGAACCTGCAGTCTCTTTGTGTGCATCAACCAAACTCTGAAATTCTTTACTAAAGGCTAGTAACTGATGATAGGGAGCTGCATTGAGAATCTCGCCATCTGACATAAACTGTCAAACAAGGTAGAAGTAAGTATATTGTTGTCAAGTAGATTTAGTGTGGCAGTTTCCTTGGGAGTAATATTCAGGGTAACGAAACCAGCTGTTTTGCTTTCCACTAATGGCTAAAGTTAATTGAGCACTCACTGCGTGAATATCTTGATATCCAGATTTTTAGTAATATAGATGGCTATATGCAACACCTCCAACGCTAAACAACTTTTTATTGCTAGGAAAATGTGATCAATCTGAAAACAAGTAATCAATTGACCTATGAAAGCAGAAGAAAATCATAATGCAAAACAAAGATTTTCAGACATCATAGCATCTAGTAGAAAGAGGTTTTCCCTTTGTTGTGTTGTTTGTTTTTGTGGGGGGCAGTGGCTTGATCCTAAATGAAAAGTCATCTAAAAGACATATTTCTCAGGCTTTATCACAGGAAGTGGAATCAGGTTACCAGAAAAAATGCCTAAAGGTCCAAATCAAATGAAAACAACAACAGTTACAGTGTAAAAATTTCCCGGGGGTAAACTCACCAGAACACAATCAAATGCAGGAAGAAAATCAACTTGATGGGTTACAAGTAAGAGAGTCTTCCCAGTTAGAGCTCCCATGACATAATCCTGCCAAGAATGGTGTGAGATTGTACATCATCACAAAGGAGTGTTACTAAGCATTTTCCGCAACAGGAGGAGGTCAATCAACGTAAAGCAAGCCCCAGAATTATGAGGTCGTGCAATCAATGCCCCCTCCCAGATTCCAGACTACCAGAAAATAAGGAGATGAGAAAGTACTAACATTGAATAAGCTTGTGGCAGTGTGTGCATCAACAGCACTGAAGGGATCATCAAGTAGATATATGTCAGCATTCTGATATAAAGCCCGTGCAAGTTGAATCCGTTGCTTCTGTCCACCGCTGAGATTAACTCCCCTTTCTCCAATTTCAGTGAGATCACCATGAGGAAGCAACTCAAAATCCTTTACCAATGAACATTTTTCTAATGTTTGTTGGTATCTCTGGTAATCCATTGGAGACCCGAATAAAATATTGTCTCGAATACTTCCAGTCTGAATCCATGCTGATTGGGAAACATAGGCAATAGTTCCATGCACTCGAACCTGTAGAATGAAGATAAATTTATCATATAAGAGATGATCAGGTCATGTTTAAGCCTTCTACAAGAATCCCATATATGACAAAAATTGTTAGGGAGTTTCATAGGCATAGATAAAATCAGTTCAATAGAAGTACGTCAAAGGAACAAGAAATTAACTTACAGTTCCACAGGTAACTGGAACCTCTCCAAGAATTGCAGCTAGAAGTGTTGACTTACCCGAGCCCACCTCCCCACATATAGCAACCTTCTCACCAGGTCTAACCGCGAGATTAATGTTTCTAAGAGAGGGTTTCAATGAATTCTCTTCCCACGAGAGGCAAGCAGATCTTATAATAATGTTTCGACTTGTGTTTTCTCCAAGGCATTTCTGCCTCACATTTGCTACATCCAATTCAGGCGCCTCAAGAAACTTCACAATCCTCTTAAAAGAAACCTTAGCTTGAATGACTACTCCAATAACTTCAGGAATAGATCTAATAGGGTCCTGAACCAGTCGTAATGTTGCTACAAATGTGAAAACGTTGCTTGCATTTAGTGGAATACCAAGGAAATAGCAAGCCCCAAATGTTGTAGCAGAGACAAGTACAGGGGTTGACCA